ACTTGATATGCTTTCAGTAATTATTCCTTTATGAACGTGGCTTCCCTGTCCTTTTCCTTCAGGTACACTATTGGTTCACTATTTCCGATCCTTTCGTACTAGGAGCTAATAAATACTTAATTCCTATTCCCTTAGTAGATAGGGTCCATACTGACTCACGTCGTATTTAACCCAACTCACGTACCACTTTAGTCGGCGAACAGCCGAACCCTTGGAACCTTTTCCAGCTCCAGGATGTGATGAGTCGACATCGAGGTATCAAACCAGCTCGTCTATACGTACTATAAGAGCTGATGAATCTGTTATCCCTTGAGTAGCTTTTATTCGTTGAGCGATGACCATTCCATTCTGTTATCATCGGATCACTATGTCCGAGTTACCTCTCAGCTTGTCTTGTTAGACTGGCTGTTAAGCAGAGTTATGCCATTACACTTTTAAGTTGACTTCTTTTCACTTTTCTCTCTACCTTCGAACGCCTCCGTTACCTTTTGGGAGGCAACCACCCCAGTTAAACTGCCCGATAAACAATTTTTTATCAATAAATGATCTCTTTTGGATTATTAGTTAGTTCCCCACCAAGGGTCAATCATAAACTGACTTTATTCATCTACAGTAAAGCTTCAAAGGGTCTTCCCGTCTAGCTAAGGGTAGAAGGCATTTTCACCTCCATTGCAATTTCACTGAGTTCATCTTGGAGACAGTTAGGGAAATCATTACACCACTCATGCAAGACTATAATTAGTAGTCAAGGTATTACGCTACCTTAGAACCGTCATAGTTACGGCTGCCGTTTACTAGTGAGATCTCTCTCTTTGCTAGCACTGGGCAGGTGTCAGACTTTATACATCAAATCTGTTATGTTTTTGCAAAGTCTTGTGTTTTAAGTAAACAGTTGCTCCCTATTTTGTATGTGCCATAATAATATATATATTATTATCCTCCTTCTCCCTAAGTTACAGAGGTAATTTGCCGAGTTCCTTCAAGATGATTGTCTCAAACGCCTATTCTGAATACCAGTGTCGGTTTAGGGTACGGTTTATTTTTTATTAATCTTTTTTCCTGAGCTTTTACACTTTTTAATTAATAAGTTTTTTTCATCAAATTTATCTTCTTAGATACCGTTACTTTACGAACAGCTATTCTATATTGCTGTTCAACCCTTATCCTTTTGGCGAGAATTATTTGTATATTCTTTTTTGTT